TGGGCTTAATAGCCGGCGACTACTGTAGTACTCACTCCACCTGCCAGAAGACTGTGCCGTCAGACGTTAAATACGTCCTGAGACAGAACTTCAGGGGTTGAAGGACTTTGGTGGGTCCGAGACGAGTATCAGTTTCATCGTCCTGGCTTCGTCGAATTGGTTTAACAGTGTTGACTGTCAAAGTCTGGGGAATAAAAGTAAAGCGGGGCGTTACATCGAAAGATACCATGGCTTCATTGGGCAGGAAATTAACCCCTTTAAATTCCTTCAAGTATCGTGTTGATCAACAGACCGCGGTTTTCAAATCTGCAATGCAAAATTTGGGACTCCGAAACAACCACTTTTCTGGTTTATAGATTGACCTGCCTTTGAACGATACGATAGTTCGGAGATGAGCTTCTGAAGTCCTGTCTCAGGACGCACTTCATATTTAACGAACTACTCTACAAGCAGGCAAAATTAACACCAATGTGTTCGCCGAGTAAGGGACTCCTATCTAAAGTGGACCTGCCGTGGTTAGAGCGGCTAGCCTTTCAACGCCACAGGTGCCTGCTGGTTTGATTCTGATTGATTAGTCGCTGACCGACCTCTCAGAATTTTCCCTTAAGGAAAAGCTTATCCCTTGATGTTCTGTCAGTGAAGTCGAATGCAATCCACTTTTGCTCTAATCAACCGCATCTGGAACAAAAAAAATATCAAATATTTACCTTGCGTTCGCGTGGAACATCTTTGGAATTTTTACTCAAATGCTACGCCCGTAACTATGTGCACTACTTCATAGAACACTTTTGTTTCGAAAATATTTACTTCAGATGCCTGCAAAGCCGATATTTTTAAAAGTTACTGCATTTACTCAGTTTTTTTGTATGGGTGTTTCCGTATGTACCTCCGAAACTTAATCATGCTCATTGAGTACGATTTTTGGCGTTTTCGACTTTTTTGTTTTTCTGAAGAACTGTCGTTTCCTAACAACTTAGTAAATCCTAGTATTACTAGTATATTAGTCCATTTGCTTTGGAATTACACTTAAAGTAGTGAATTATACATTTGTTGTTTCTATACCTGAGACAGCCTCCGCATGATGGGAGACGTTTCGTGAATTTAGGTCCATTTCATGTGTCGGGTCACATAATCCCAACATAGGTGGTAGCTTAAAAAGTCCCTCGACGGTTTTACTCCAAGTCAGCAGATGACGTTAGAAAAACCGCAATGGGAAAAATTTACCAACCAGAAACCACATAAAAAACGCTCGATGATTCACTGGTAATTCAAGCCCACTGTATTTGCGCCACCTGGCAACCAAAAACACGTAGTCAGCTACTACTTCAGTTGGAAATGTAATGAAAGTTGCACTACTGGTGGAGGCACTGGTATGAACATCATGGGTCTGTTTTGTCAAAGTTGACGGCATTCCGCTCAACCCACACCCCCCC